AAAACAATTAACTGGTTAAAATGTAAAATTCTGCATCTGAAATTAATAATTGATTTTCTAAAACTGAATTACAAATTTGTGAAAGAAAATAAAATGTATAATTGCTTTTTTTTTAAATCCCATTTTGTTGCTTAAAAATTTTCAGTTTCAGTTATGTATTTAAACACATGCTGGCAGTTTGCAACCTAGAAACTGAATGAAGTGAGGGGCCTGTTTAGTTTTCAGGTGGCACAATGTTTTAGACAATGTGTCTCTAAATTCAAGTGATCACAAAGTAAAAACTGTAGAAGAACAAGGAATTGTAAACCTCTGGAGATGTTCCGGTGGCAGTGACACGCCACTTAACTCACCTTGCTGTGCTGAATCCATGGGCGGCTGTTTGCAGTCCTCTGCTCTATGACCGTTGGCACCACAGTTATAACATGACAGGTTCCCTGCTGTCCGTTTCTGGCCTCTGTTTCCCATGATCCCATGGGGTTGGTAGAAGCCAAAGCCCTGCTGTTGATCATGTGACACAGGGCTGTGGCGGTAGAAGAGTGGAGGCACCATCATCGGGTAGGAGAAGGGTGTGGAGCCGGTTCCAGCAGTGCTGGATGAGGGTATCAGCGGGCTGAGATGGAGCAGAGGACCCAGGGTGAAAAGGGAGGGCCCAGCTGAAAAAGGCTGCAGATAGCTGGCTGCAGCGTATCCAGGCAACGCCCTGTAGGCCCCACAGTTCCCTCGACAACCGCAGGAGCTGCAAACACACAGGGAGGTGGTGTGACCTGAACTTTGTTCCAATGTGGAGGCGGAGGAGGGAGAAGGGGAGGATCTAGAGGTAGGCTGGGGCAGGTAGTAAGTGGTGCCTGTTACTGCGGCAACAGGAACACTGCTGGCGGTTACCATGGAAACAAAGCCACTCCCACCACTGGAGCTCCCAGACTTTGAGGAGGAACAAGAAGAGGAGCTAGGTGGGCAGGAATAGTATCCAGACAGAGAGGGGGATGAAGAGGATGAGAGGTGGAAGTGGAGAGGGGGGTGGGAGACGTGGTGGAGGCTGTTGGAAGTTGAGGTCAGAGCAGAGCTGGTTTCTACCATCAGGCCTATTGCACCACCTGCCAGGCCATGGCAAACCACCGAGTCCTGCAGCACAGAGGAGCTGTCCATGCTCAGTCCAGGGAACAGGCTCTCCAGTTTCACCCCCATTCCCACACTGAGCCCCGGACTGCAGCCTGCAGCGGCTGCAGGCATGCCCGCACCCAGCGCCTTGGTCCTGTCCTCTGTACACAGTGGAGGAGGCCTAGGCTTGCGTGGGGAGGCCAGAATGCGTGCTGGGTTTGAGACTGGGGAGAAAAGGGTCTGGGGGTAGCTGGTCTGTGGGTGGTAATGAGATTGCGGGAGGCTGAAGGGGAGGTGGGAGGAGCAGGCTGGATCCAGATGCTGATCTGGATCAGTTTGGACAGGTAGGACCTGGGCTGTGGGGCGACCAGAGCCTGTGGGGCAGCTGGAGTTAAGGACGAAGAGACAGGGCCGATCCTTTTCTGGACCAGCTCCTGCTGCATCTGGACCTGACACTCCTGAGACACAGATATAAAATGTGGTAAAAGGGAGCAAGGATGTGTCTTATGCCCTGACAATAACATCAGATGCACAGATTAAGGACAAGTGTTGCAAAACAAACGGGCACCTGTCTTACATCTCATGATCAGGACTGGTACAATGTCATTTGTCACATAGCACAAGCTGTGAACAGGGAAAGATGGAGGTACACATAGCACAAGCTGTGAACAGGGAAACAACAGACATTACCTCCATGTCTGTTGGTTGGGTTGTTCACAACATAACTCAAAAACTAATGAATGAATTAAGAAGATGTTTTGGACAATCCATTAGGTTCTGGTGCTGATCCAGATCATCATCTGGATCCAGGATTTTGTAAAGGATTCTTCACCACTGTGACATAGGGTGAATTGCAATATTTTCCCCTCTAACTCCATACATAATGCCTACAAGGCATAATGTACTGTAATAGGAATATTGCTTCCAGGCATAATGGAATTTTAGGGACAGTGAGTTGCCTTGGCAGAGGTTTGCACTCTCTGAGAGCTGTCTAGTTTTCCTTTGGGTGTAATTACCGAAGCTTTTCTTTTTATCCAGTATTTCTGGGAGGGGGACAGTGGGTTTCTATAAATGTCAGAAGTAAACATTTTTAATAAACAATTTTTGGTCAGTGGGGGTATATAAAGAGTGAAAACAGCATTAGGGGAAAATGCAGCAGTCATAAACTTCAAAAACTCATCAAGCTTCTTTTCTTTTTCACATTTATCTCTCTACAATAATTCAACAGTCCTGTTAGAAAACTTACGCCTGTGAAGCTGTGAGCTCCTGTCTGAGGTGGAGTCGCAGCATAGTGGTGTCCTAGGGGAGCAGGAAGAGCTGGAGTAGCCTGAGGAGGAGCTGCTGTCTGTGGAGATGGGGTGATGGTGTGGCACTGCATCCACTTCCACTCGCAGCTCTCCTGTAATTCATTTCAATACATCATCATTAAAGACTTCTCATTTTGCAGCTACCTGTTTAACAATGATAAAAATCCATTACTTGCACACACATTGCAATCACAGTCTCAAACCTTAGTCCCCCAAAGACACTTCACAGTCTTTTTATGAGTTATATCCAGATGCAAAACACCAAATCAACACATTTTGAACCATTTGTAGCAAAACCATTTACCTGATATTTCTCATATCTAAACAAACCAGCTTTGTTACCTGCAGTGCAGGTGGGCTGTGCTGAGGGTCCCATGTGACTGGAAGGTGTCACCCTGGCGATACCACTGCAGGATCGCTTCTCCATCTTCATCTCCCTGCTGGGGACACATACAGGCACACTAATAAGGAAAAAAGTCTACATCAAATGATAATATCATGCATATTGTGACTTATCCTATTTAGTGTTTAACCTCTAGAGTCCCTGCGTCCTCATATGAGGACCGCACAGCTTGGGTTTCCAAAGCTCAGGACTCTAGAGGTTATGGTGGCAGATGATTTGTTCAATATTTTTGAGGAAATATTCCTGTAATGACCACCAGGGGGAGACATTGTCCACTCAACATGCTCATCAGCATCCTGGCTGCTCTTCTACAAACACATCTGCAAAAACTGGTATGGAAAACCACTGCAGGATCTTTCCACCGTGCATGTTGTTTAAGCACATGCGCATGGACAAACACACACATGCTGTGTTTTCATTCCTTGTGGGGACTTTACATTGACTTACATTCATTTCCTCTAGACTTATCCTAACCTTAACCATAACCACTACTTGCCTAACCCTAACCCTGGCCCTAACACTTACCCTAACACCTAACCTCATCCTAACCCTAAACCACATTGTCACCCTAAAATTCAGTGATTTCCTTGTGGGAACTAGCTTCTGGTCCCCACAAGGATGGCTGAGTCCCCACAGTGTGAGTGTGTTAACAGATTTCGGTCCTTATGATGTAAGTAATACAAAGGCGTGCGCACACACACACTCACACAGTCACCTCCCTCATGGAAACCTGCTGATACCGGTGATGGAAACACAATCAACAGATAACATCTGCTTGCATGACCATGTTGTGTGTTTTTGCATGCGTTCCTGCTGGTTATCTCCTAAATACATCTTATGTCTCCTGCCCACCTACAGCTGGTTAATCATTGACACATATGGACTATTACTGCTGTATATTTCCTGAGGAAATCAGCAGCTGATCAGTCTGCCTGTTAATTGTTAATGGAACAAAGCATCTGCTCCTAACCATGGACTGAGACACACATCTACATTGTAAAAGGTCCCAGCAAGAGTGCCAGTGTGCATAATTTATTCATTCTAAAATTATACATCACATCTTTTTTTAATGTAAAAGCAACACAGGTATCTGCTGGTACATCAGCCCTGAATTTGACGGACTGCTGTTTCCTGCGGTAAACCGTATTCATTTCCTGTTTTCTGTATTTGCACTGCGTTGTGCTTGCTTCCAGATTGTTTAGGAATTAAACTCACTATTTTCTAGGTTCATCTGAATT